GTAAATAAATTTACTCTTTAGATTATACGTCTGAGTGATCTGAAATATTCAGTCCGCAAAAGGAGATAATTTCGTACTACTAACTTAGAATCTTACAAGCTGCATCTGGGATTTGTTCAAAGAAACAACTGCATCCAGTTCTTTGTGCCTCTTTTACTTTTACACTTTTGTGGTTGATAACTAAACCACAATTCTATCCTGAGCAAAGTTATTTCTTACAACCAGAATACATGTGTATAACATAGCACTGCAAAAACCATGAATGTTAAAGGTATACAAACTTGTAAGTTCAAAGTAACTAAGCTTTAATTAATCCAACAGTATCTTTTACCAGTTACAATGTATAGTTTAGTATATTCCTATTCTTATGAAATATGAACTTAAATATATTCTGAAACCAAACACCAGGTTACATATTTAATTTCAAAATTGGTTAACTTTACCATTCCGCACTTTGAACTAATCTCTAGCAATGTGAACTACACAGGCTAGAGATAGCTGGGTATGCAAAGAAATTTTTTTTTCCAGATTTATCTGGAATTAGCTTAAATAAGTCATCAGTACCTTTTAAAAAAAAAAAGAGCCACTGACTTGTCCCTGGTTGAGGTTAATTTCATAAAACACATTTAATCTTTCATGTACATATCATATACTTCTGAAAATTATATTTAAATGATTATTATTTAGACCACTTATAAAAGTACACTATTTATTTCAACTCCACCTTAATCATCACACACAATTTCCTTTTCTTATTGGTGCGGTCACGTACGTACCTTCCACATCTAAAAGACCTATTTTCAAGCGGAAACGAGAACATGGCATAGCTTCTCTGTTAAACTGCTTTGCTGATCAGTATGTCATAAGAAACTAAGCTTATAGGTTCAATACTCTTCTGGATCATTTAACTTTGAAACAAACTGGCCTCTTAACCACTCATCTCAAAACTGTGAGAGGGGGACTGTGAAGAGTGAGTGATTCATTCAGTGACCATAACCATTGTAACAAAAATTCATAAGCTGAAAGGGCCAATATTACCTCTGTACATGAAAAACTGTAAAGCACATAAAAACTACCACTTGTAACCCCAAATTTCATGCACAGAAAAAGGGAGTGGGGAGAATGGGTGCTCATTTCAATAACATAAGAAAGCTTAAATATATTTAACACTAATCACTTCCATAAGATGTGAATTTGGCATTAAGTCATGCAGCAATATATGACATCAGAATGAATAGAAAATACTTGGAAATACGCCGTTAACTCTTTTTAAAATTGATGAGTTTAATCTGAAAAGGAACATCAGGAGGAAGTAAGACTATGTTCACAATTTTAAACTCACCACACAATATTAATATATAAACACTTTATACAAATTTTTAAATTGAACTTCTAAAATAAGAAAATTTTAGAACTGGGAACTTAGAGGTTATTTTAAGTTCAATGAACATCTGCTGGATCCCTAGCATGTGTCAGACACAGTGCCAGCTGCTTGCAGGTAACTCAATTATTCAACTCACTCACTTTAGAGATGGTGGAGTTGCCTGCTCATGCCAAATCAAGCCATCTAGATTTCAGAACTAGAAATGCTGAGCAGTGCTCTCACAGTGGTAGAATTTCTATCAAAACCGACTGGTATCATTCTTCCTTATAAACTAAATAAAATGTCAAAGATGCAATGCTAACCCTATTTAACAAAACAATACTCTCTGTGTTTTGAAAGCTATAAAGAATTACAACTGTCTAAAAATTCAACTAAGTACTAGTTGCATAATTTATTGCAAAGAACAAAACATGGGGCTGTCAGTTTTAAGATTCTAAAGACACACATAACAGAAATTAAACAAACTGCAGATATCATTTAAAAATCCCTTTATGGGCAGCCCAGGTGGCTCAGAGGTTTAGCGCCGCCTTCAGCCCAGGGCATGATCCTGGAGACCCCGATGGAGTCCCACGTGAGGCTCCCAGCATGGAGCCTGCTTCTCCCTCTGCCTGTTTCTCTGCCTCTCCTTCTCTCTAGGTCTCTCATAAATAAATAAATAAAATCTTTAAAAAAAAAATAAAAATCCCTTTGTGTAAAAAAAAAAAATAAACAATATGAAAAATCAGATGCTCGACTGGAATGTGTATTTTATATAAAAGATCAGTCATATAATAACAAAGTTCATGGATGGTAGTAAACTTTGGCAAGACTTTTAAGTTATTTAACTATTAGATTCTGAATCATGACAGAATGTAAAACTCCCTGAGGACAAATACCCTAACTCATCTCTGTGTCACCAACAATTAGCACTCTGTTGTTAAATGCTGGAGAGGTAAATTATGATATGAACTTTAAATTCAAGCTATTTGAAAATTCAACCTAACTAAAAGATCTTCTTTTATAACTCAAATGACTTTTTTCAAGTATTAAACAATAATACTCAATGCAAGTAACACTGCCGTAACACTGAAGATCAACAACTGTGGCTATCCCTTTAACTAGAACAACATATTTTTTAAAGTAATTCACAGGACACATCAAGAAGACAAATTCATATACTTTGATTCAGTTCTTCTTCTGGAAATCATCCCAAGAAAAAAATTCCAAAAGAAAGAAAGAAAATGCTACATATACAAAGTGTTCATTTCATCATAATTTTAGTAAAGTGAAACAAACTATCTACATGCCCAACAACCGGTAACACATAGATGGAGTATTTTTGCAACCTCTGAAAAAGGCTTAAAATAAAGATTAAACCTCCTAACTGGTCTTCCTGCTTATACTCTTGCCCTGGCCAATTCCCACCAAGTTGATTTCCACACAGCAGCCAGAAGGATTCCCACAAACTCTTCTACTTAAAACCCTCCAACAGTTGATTGCTCATCTCATTCAAAGTAAAATCTGGGATCCCTGGGTGGCTGAGCGGTTTAGCGCCTGCCTTTGGCCCTGGGCATGATCCTGGAGTCCCGGGTGGATTCCTGCATCAGGCTCCCTGCATGGAGTCTGCTTCTCCCTCTGCCTGTGTCTCTGCTTCTCTCTCTCTCTCTCTCTCTCATAAATAAATAAAATCTTTAAAAAAAAATTAAAATCTGAAGTTTTTACCATGACCTACAAGGCTGTTACTTCTCTAACCTAATGCTCCCTCACTCCTTCTTGCTGTCTTCCTAGTTGTTCTCAAAAGGCCAAGTACACTGAGGGGGGGGGGGGTCTTTGCACTTGCAGTCCCCTCTGCCTACAACTTTCTTCTCCAAGAGAGCACATCTAACTCACTTCCTTTAGGTCTCTGCTCCAGTCTCATGCCATCCCTGCCACTGCTTCTCTCTTTCCCTCACCCTAAGTGACTCTTCTGCATAGCTCTTATCATGTAATATATTCTACATTTATTTGGTTATGGCCCATCTCTTCTGATTGAAATATAAGCTCTATGACAACAAGAACTTGATTTTATTCACACAACAGGCATTCAAAAAGCAGTTGTTGAAGTAATATTAAACGCTGGTATAATAATCATTAACTACATGAAAAACCATGCATTTAAACAAGCTCGGAAGAGAACAGGAAAAATGAATAATTTGATTTGTGAACATTTAAGTGTCGATCATGTTACTAAGGAGTTTGTACAATAAAAATTTAGGTCAGTTGTGATTAGGATTTTAGGCTGCCAAAAGTGACTATAGCTATCTTATTTCCTTGGAAGCCATTAGTGTATTAGCTCAAAACTGACTGGTAGCAGTTATTAATGACAACTTTTCTTCATAAAATCGTAGTAACAATTACTCTTAAATCTTATTCCTAAAGACCCAAAGTTTGGTCTGTAAGCACCGACACTGCCATTCTTGAGGCCACACAGAAGGTGGACAAAGGCTTTTGAACAGTTTTAATATGGAATTGAATAACACTCAGGGATTCCAGTTTTCCTCTGAGACAGGTATCTATGCTTGGTTTCAGAGGGAACCCGAAACTGAATGCAAAATTCCATGCATAAACGTCTATTAACTTTTTTTTTTTCTCCTGGAGAGAAAATCTATATGTCTCATCATAATCTCAAAGGTGTCAGTGGCCTAGAAAAGGTTAAGAATCACTGTTTTGCACTGGAAGTGTACTATTCTAACATAAGCTACCTTCAAACGAACAGAAAATATAGAATACCTAGACGCCTCCTTGTAATCATTCAACCCACCCATAAAATTCCGAGTGCCTGCACTGTGCCAGACACTGTGTGATCCTCAATACCTTGCACTTAATCGTGCTTTGCAGTACACAGTTGAAAACGCCAAGGAAACAAGGTTCAGTGAAACGCCAGACTAAAAAAAATATAACTGCACCCGATGCAAATACAGTCTCAAAACAAAGTGGTGTAAGAAGTCCTAATAAAGACAGAGAAAAGCTTGGGGGCCTGATTTAGCGTCTATCATGTCAAAGTAGGGCCGATGTCAATTACATCAAAAGGGAAGAAAGACTACACATGCATGCCCGCCTCCACACACTGACAGGAAACCAGAAGAAAGTTTCCAAGTCCTGTTTCCAGCAGCGTCCCTGAGGCTGCCCTGCAGCGCGCTTCTGAAGGCAGGCCCGGACCTTCGACTAGGGGCTGCTACTTCACTCACACCTCGACGGAAACAGCAAGAACCATCATCCCAGACCCGGGAAGCAGAAAACCGTGGCCACCTGGAGGGCCCGATAACCTCCTGCCGCGACTCCGTTTTTGTTTTTGCCTCCGCCTCCGCCTCCTCCCTTCAGAGCAGAGGCAAGACCATCTCTCCCCCCCCCCCAGCAAGGAACGGGTGACTCAGTGTCAGTTCTTTTTCCCAAGAGGCCAGCAGGTCGCCCAACTCTTGCGCTCGGCCCTGCGAGGAGGTCCCGTCTTTCAGGCACCAGCGTCTTCCCCTCACCTCCTCCCAGTCGCAGTAAATTACACGATTCGGCTGAGGACACGGCCCTTAACTCCCTGAGGGGACGAGCCGCACTCCCGCCAGCCCCCAGGCCAAAGGAAGCCCAGGATCAGTCGGTGCCTGACCTCCGCTCCAGCAAACTCCAGGGGCGAGGCACAGGTTCAAGAAGAGCAACGCCGGGAAGGCGAGCACGCGGCAGGCAGGCTGGGAAGACGCGAGGGAGGAGGGCGGGCAAGGGGCTGGGAGGCGGAGGGGACGCGGGGATGTCAGCCCGCGCCGGGGAGCGCAGCAAGGGCGCGCGGACGGACCCCGGCCGGCGGCTGCGGCGGCGGCGGGGGGCGGCGGCGGCGGGGGGCGGCGGCGGCGGGGGGCGGCGGCGGCGGCGGGGGGCCGCGGCGGCGGGCCGGCGCCCCCCGGTCCCCGCAGACAACCCGCCCAGCCTCCGGACCGCCTTTCCGCGAGCCCCCCGCGCGCAGAGCTGCGTCGGGGGGAAGGTCCGTCCCTCGCCCGGGGACGTGCAAGACGAGGGAAAGGGCAGCGACGTCCCGGGCGCCGCAGCCCTCGGGCGGCAAGCGGCGAGGGCGCCGCGTCCGAGCGGACGGCGAGGGGGGCCGGAGGGTCGGGGCACAAGGTCCCCTTTCTGCCGCACACCCGGCCCGGGCCCCTCCCGTCCGTCTCCGCCCGCAGGCCCAGCCACGGCGGACCGGCTCGGTCCGCGGGCGTGGCCGGCTCTGGCCCCGGCGGCGGCGGCAGGGCCTCCGGAGCTCCGGCCCCTCCCGCCGGCCAGGCCCCCGGGCCGCCGCCCCGGACTCCGAGGGAACGCGGAGGAGGAAGGGGGGAGCCAGGGGACTGGCCGGCGACAGGAGCCGCCTCTGCCCTGGCTCGGCCGCCCCGCGGGCTCCCCGCGCCTCACTCACCCGCGGCCCGGCGCCTCCTCCACCTCCTCCTCCACCTCCTCCCTCCTCTCGGCCGTGGCTCCGGCTCCGGCTCCGGCTCTGCGCGGCGACGGCGGCGGCGGCGGCCTCGAGAGCGGCGGCGGCGGCCTCGAGAGCAGCGGCGGCGGCGGCGGCGCCTCCAGAACGCGCACGCACGCAGCACGCAGGCCCCGCCCCGGCCCGGCCCCGCCCCCGGCCCCGGCCCCGCCCCGCCCTCCGAGGCGGCGTCGGCCCTGCCTCCCCGCGACGTCCCCGAGTCCGCTTAAAGCAGCCGCGCGGGGGACTGCGGTGGGAGCGGAGAAGCGGGTGGGAGGGGCGCGGTGGCGGGGCCTTGCGGAGGGCGGGCGGGAGGCTGCGTCGGGCGGGAAGCAAACGGGGAGGGGCCCGAAGGCTCCGGAGGAGTCGCGGCTTGCAGGGAATGCGAGTCCTGAGCGGTAAGTGCCCGGCTCTGCGCTAGGCGCAGGGGCCCTCGCGAAGCTTCAATTCTAGTGGGGGGGGGGGGGGACCGACGACAAGCAAGCAGAGATGTCAGGTACTGGTAGGTAGAGTGAAGAAAAACAACGCCGGGCACGGGGTGACGCTGTAGCTGGCCAGATGCTGGCCCGCAGGGGAGGCCTGTGAGCACTTGTCCCACCCGTGTGCTAGGAGAGAATGAGCTCAGCGGACACCTGCGGGGGGTGCGCTGGGGGTGGGGGCTCGGTGGGGACAGCCTTCCCACACCGAAAGTCGATCAGCCTGAAACTCAGAGGTGAGACTAATAGACCTGGCAGGTTGCAGGAGCAGCAAAAAGCCGGCATGGCTGAATGGAACCAGCTACCCCGAAAGCAGCGGTAGTTAAACTGGGAGAGGTGTGGAAGGACCGGATCCGGCGCAGCCCTGTGGGCTCTTATAAGAGCAACTAAAAGCCGTGGGAGGGCGCGCAGAGGAATAACCACACCTGGTTCACATTTTTAAGAATTATTCTTGGGCAGCCCGGGTGGCCCAGCGGTTCAGCGCCGCCTTTGGCCCAGGGGCTGATCCTGGAGACCGGGGATCGGGTCCCGCGTCGGGCTCCCTGCATGGGGCCTGCTTCTCCCTCTGCCTGTGTCTCTGCCTCTCTCTCTGTCTCTCGTGAATAAATGAACAAAATATTTTAAAAAAATAAAAACTATTCTTGCTCTTATGTGTAAAGTGCCCAACAGGGAAGCACAAATGTCCACAGGAAGGCCACCAAGGATGTTGTTGGAGGTAACTTGGAACAGGAAGGCAACAAAGGAGTGAGAAAGCTACTCGGGTACATTTTGAATTGGGATGGATTTGGCAGAGACTGTGTGAAGGAACAAACCCCACGGATGATTCTTAGGTTCAGAGCTCGAAGGATGAGTTAATGGTGGTGCCATTTAATGGGAAAGGGAAGGCTGCGAACAGGAGAAATTTGGGGTTGGGGGAAATCAGTATTTCTGTTTTGTACATGTTCCATAAGGTGCTTGTTGTATACATCCACAGGAAATGTTGAGAACAACAGTTGGATATAGATTTGGGATTCTTGGGGATCCCTGGGTGGCTCAGCGGTTTAGCACCTGCCTTTGGCCCAGGGCGTGATCCTGGAGTCCCGGGATCGACTCCCACATCAGGCTCCTGGCATGGAGCCTGCTTCTCCCTCCTCCTGTGTCTCTGCCTCTCTCTCTCTCTCTCTCTATGTCTATCACGAATGAATAAATAAATCATTAAAAAAAAAAGATTTGGGATTCTTCAGAGCACAGATGCTTCTTAAGCCAGGAGTCTACATGAAAGCACTTAGGGAGGGAGAGTAGCTAGAGAAGAGGACTAAGAGGAATCCAACACTTGGAGATTAAGTAGAAAAGGAGGAGGAGCTACCAGTCTGATCAGAGGAATACTAGGAAAGGGTGAGTGATAGAAGATAATTGTTTCTAGAAGGTGGGAGTCATCACTCTTATCAAGTACTGCTGAAACAAGTAAGCCAAGGAGAGAGTTTGAACACTAGGTTTGGCCAGATGAAGTCACTGATGTCCTTGATGAGAGCAGTTTCAATGGTGTCACAAGGGAGAAAGTCTGATTAGGGTGTGTTAACAGGAGAATGGGAAGTGAGGAGGAGAGACTGACTTGATATAAAGCAAGTCTAAACCGCTCTTAAGGACCTTTGCTATAAGGAGCAACTGGGAACATGGTAGTAGCCCCCAGAGTACTTGGGATCAAGGGAGAGTATATTAAGATGGGAGATGCTTCTGTTGTTGGTACGCTGGATCAATCCTTTGGAAAGGTAAATGTGACAATACAAAAGGGAAGAGAGACAAGTGGAGACTGTCCTCAAGACGATGACAAGCAGGGCACCTGAGGGGCTTTGGCTCAGGGTGTGATCCTGGGATCCCAGGATCTAGTCCCGCATCAGGGTTCCCCACAGGGAGCCTGCTTCTCCTGCCTATGTCTCTGCCTCTCTCTGTGTCTCTCATGAGTAAATAAATGAAATCTTAAAAAAAAAAAAAAAAAGCAATGAGACCTAGCATGAGAGTGAAGAGGTGGCCTTGAATAGGAACAAGGACAGTATGTTGACACAGTATTTGGGGGGAGAAGGCGAAGTCTGGATGCAAATGCAGGTAAGTCAGGGAGTATACTTGGTGTTGGTGGCAGAGCAGGAGGGGACAGCTGGGAGCTAAAATTCAGCCCCTGTTCTGCCAACCCAGCTGTGAGGCTACGTCACCCCAGCAGAAGGGGGGCAGCTTTTCTAATTACCGCACCTGGAGGGGGTTGCCTTTTAGCGGTCATCTCCGCCCTCCTAGGACACACACACACGCACACACACATACACTGTGTGTACATTTTCCTGGTTTGCACTAAGATCAATATGTGCAGGCTGCCTCACTGGGTCTGAGGAGATAGAGCTGGTCTGTGTGCTTTCCTTTACTCTCTGCAACAAAAAAACTGAATGAGGGGCACCTGGGTGGCTCAGCGGTTGAGCGTCTGCCTCAGGCTCAGTTCGTGATACTGGGGTCCCAGGATCAAGTCCCACGTCGGGCTCCCTATGGAGAGCCTGCTTCTCCCTCTGCCTGTGTCTCTGCCTCTGTGTGTGTGTCTCATGAATAAATAAATAAAAATCTTAAAAAAAAAAACAAACCTGTCAATGTGGAGGGACTACTGGCTATTTAAGGAGCTAGGAGAAGGTGAACAAGAACTCCCATGAAGAATGAGTTACTAGAGAAGTATAGTACGGTGGTCCCATATTTAAAGTGAGACCATTCAGCAAGGTTGTGTGATTTTCTCCAGCCACACATGCCATTGCTTGGGGAGATGGCAGGAGGGTTGGATTTGACCAGGGCTGGGTTTGCTGATGAAAGTCATGAGGGAGTGAGGGAGGAAACACCAAGGAGTGGTTCTAGTGACAGACCTTGGAATCTAAGCCAGGCGGAAGAGAGGAAAATAAAAATGCCGTGGAGTCACTGGTTTGGTGGTCCCTATGAGAAAGAATAGTTGAGGAGGAAGCAGTGGAATAGGCGGGGAGGGGACTTTCCAAGGATCAAGCATGGGGAAGGGTGAAGGAGGCCGTCGGGAAAGAGGAAGCCAAGGTGTCTTATGAGAAAAATGGGTGGGAGCCCTGGGTGGCGCAGCGGTTTGGCACCTGCCTTTGGCCCAGGGCGTGATCCTGGAGACCCGGGATCGAGTCCCACGTCGGGCTCCCGGTGCATGGAGCCTGCTTCTCCCTCTGCCTGTGTCTCTGCCTCTCTCTCTCTCTCTGTGTGACTATCATAAATAAATAAAAATTTAAAAAAAAATTTATTAAAAAAAAAAAAAGAAAAAGAAAAATGGGTTCATGGAGCTGAGGAAGCAGCCAGGACCTTGGGATCTTGTCCTGTCACAGCATACACTTGAGCCATTGGTCTGAGGGAGGCTGCGGGAGCTGCAGAAGCTAGGGAGAGACTGGGCATAGCTGGGCTCTGCAGGGCCCCTTCACAGCCGCAGGAGAGCCCACCGGGGCCTTGACTTTACCTGTCTTTCCTGTTTCTCCTTCCACTGAGGACACCCCTGTGTTTGAGTGCACACTTTATTCTCTCTGGTGTTTGACAGAAACTAAATGACGTGACGTGTCCTCCCCAGTCCACCTCCTCTTTCTCCTCCTGATTTCCCCTTTTCTGTTTGTGACACTTTCTCAGTTATTTAGCCTCCAAGCCTCAGCTGCCTATACTCTTCCCCATCCCTGTGCCCCATCAGTCCCCAAAATGTGGCCATCTGTACTGTCCCGTAGAACATTCTACTGTGTTCTTTACCTACATCATCTGGTACAGTAGTCACAGGTGGCTACTGAGCACTGGAAATGTGGCTAACACGACTGAGAAACTGGATTTTTGATCTTATTTGACCTTATTCCTTAAGGAATTTAAATTAGATGTAAGCAGGCACATATGGCTGGGGGCTCCCGGACCTGACAGACGAGTAGAAGTCCCTCGACACAACGTCTCTTCTGTCTGCCTCCACGGCCTTGACTGGTCAGTTACCTCTTGTCCAGGCTTTTCCTGGCATGTCCTCGTCCGTCTCCTGCTTAGCTCCTTACCCCCCCCCCCCCATCCATTGTGTGTTCTTGCCGGAAGCACCTCTCTGGAGCAGTGGCCAAGTCATGACTCCGCCCTCTTAAAATCATTGCTGCTTCTCTGTCAGTCTCACACCAGTGCCCACCCAGGACCGTGGCTTCATCCCACTTTTCCCGCCTCTCTTTCAGGATGTTTGGAAAGAACTGGTTCTCAAGCCAACTTGAATTACTGGCTGTAATTCCTACCGACCTCTGACAGAGGAGCCCACCTGTTTGCCCAAATTGTCGCTGCCTGGAACGATGCCCTCCCCCACCCCTTCTTGCAGCCCCCAAATGTATTGAAATCCTGGGAGGCCTGTCTCATATTGCAGCAGCTACCCAGAACCTTTCCAGATTTTTCCTCTCCTCCAAAACCCCACAGTTTCTGTTTTCACCTCACCTGTGGAGCTGACATGCTGCCTTGTCATATGTTTTTTGCAGCCATTTTTATTCCCGTTACTAAATCTCCCTTCTTGCAGATCCCTTCTTGCAGATCTCCCTTTTAATTACATTAGCGCCTCTCGTCAGACTTATACCTTCAACGTTGGAGGTACTCCTCAACCAGCCTCTGAATTGAGTTGTACACTTTTGTGGAATCTGAAGAGCATTTATGCCTCGCTCTGCCCCTAAGTACTGTCACTAACCCTCAAAGAGGGTTGGTTATACCCTGGGAGAAACAAAAAAGGGCGAGAAGCAGGGGCCAAATAGCAATTATCTCATGACATTCCTGTCACAACTGAGAATTTCTCAAGTTGGAACACCAGGTGTGGGGCAACACTCTTGGAAATTCAGAAAAAAAGAATGAAAGAAATACAAGCAGGAAAAAAATTAAGTGGGAAACAGCTTTTTGAAATAGATCATAATCATGACACACCT